ATACACTTATTGGGATTTTTTTAACCAAAAACATGTATCAGAATACATTTTGGCCTAAATTTATGACGAAATTTTAGTTTTTTTTAGATATTTTTTTATGACCAAAATGAGAAAATAATGTTTTTTTTTCAAAAAAAAATTTTTCTTCAAAATTTATTTGGTTATAGTGCCAAAAATAAAAAGTGCACAGGTGATCAAAATACCACCAAAAGAATGCTCTATTTGTTTAAAAAAAGGACATAAATTTAATTTATGTACCATATTGCATGACTGCGCAATTGTCCGTTAAACTAGGGCAGTGCTGTATAGCAAAAAAATGACGTAAATTGCATAGTTTGTAGACGCTATAACTTTCACACAAAGCAATCAATATACACTTTGGGGGGGGGGGGGGGGTTACCAAAAACATGTAGCAGAATACATTTTGGCCTAAATTTATAACTAACTTTGAGTTTACTATATATTTTTTATAGCTGAAAGTAAAAAATATTGTTTTTCTTCAAAATATTTGGTCTTTTTTTGTTTATAGCGTGAAAAATAAAAAGCGCACAGGTGATCAAATACCACCGAAAGAAAGCTCTATTTGTGTGGAAAAAAAGGACGTAAATTTCGTTTAGGTACAGCATTGCATGACCGCACAATTAGTTGAATTAGTGCAGCGCCGAGTAGCAAAAAGAGGCCTGGTCATTAAGGGGGGTAAATCCTCAGGAGCTCAAGTGGTTAATAGATATACAGTATAGTGCATTCTTGAAGTATTCAGACCACTTTTTTCAGTTTTATGTTGCAGCCTTATACTACAGTTGCTTATATCTTTTTTTTTTTTTTTTTTTAATTAACCTATACTCTGTACAAAAAACACAAAGTTAATACAGAATTTTTTTTAAACATCTGTTCATTTATTAAAAAGAAAAAAAAAACCTGAAATATCACATATGGTTGAGTATTCAGACACTTTACGTAGTACTTTTTTGAAGCACCTTTGGTGGCAATTACAACCTCAAGTCTTTTTGGTTATGATGGTACAAGTTTTGCACACTTGGATTGGGGGGTTTTCTGGCTGGGCCACTGTAGAGTTGTCCATAACACACTCCTGTGTTGTCTTGGTTGTGTGCTTAGGATCGTTGTCCTGTTGGAAGATGAATCTTCGATCCAGTCCAAAGTCCTGAGTACTGTGCAACAGATGTTAATTGAGGATATCCCTGTAATTTGCTCCAATGAGCTTTCTCTCAATCTTGGCCAGTCTCCCGGTCCCTGCAGCTGAAAAAACATCCCCACAGCATGATGCTTCCAGCACCATGCTTCACTGTTGGGATGGTATTGGGAAGGTGATGAGTGATGCTTGATTTCCTCCAAAGTTTAGATTTGAGGCCAAGTGGTTCAATCTTGGTTTCATCAGACCAAATAGTCTTGTTCCTTACAGAGTCCTTTAGGTGCTTTTTTTGCAAACTCAAAGCAGGCTTTCATGTGTTTTTCACATAGAGAGAAGAGGCTTCCGGCTAGCCACTGTGCCATAAAGCACAGATCGGTGGAGAGCTGCAGTGATGGTTGTCCTTCTGGAACTTTGTCCCATTTTCACACCTCTGGAGCTCACTCAGAATGAACACCGGGTTTTTGGTTACCTCTCTAAGGCCCTTCTCATCTGATTGCTCAGTTTGGCCAGGCAACCAGCTCTTGGAAGAGTCCTGATTGAGCCAAACATCTAAGATTTAATTTTTTTTAATAGCCTTTTCCAGATCTGTGCTTTGCAATAATCCTGTGTCTGGGCTCTGAAGGCAGTTCCTTTGACCTCAAGACTTTTGCTCTGATACAGTATGCTTTGTCAGCCGAGAGGCCATTTATAGAGAGGTGTGTGCCTTTCCAAATCATGCCCAATCAATTTCATTGACCAAAGGTGGACTCCAGTCATGGTGTAGAAGCATCTCAGCAGTGATGAAGAAGTAATGGGAGGCGCCTAACCTAAATTTTGTTGCTGCAAAAGGTCTGAATGCTTATACCAATGTGATTTCAGTTTTTAATTTTCCATGCATTTGCAAACATTTCTAAAATTCTATTTCACTTTGTCACTATGGGCTACTGAGTATAGATTGATGAGGGTGGGAAACAAAAAAAAACAACAATATCAGGCTGCACATAACAATATTGACACTGTAAAGTTATAATATTTTATCTTTTTTTTTCTGCTAGGAGACATTTTCCAAAATACAAAATGACTCACAGTTTTGGATAAGTTGGTGAAGGGTTAAATATACTCTATATTGCCAAAAGTATTCAAATCATTTGATTCAGGTATTCCAATCACCTCCATGGCCACAGGTGTATAAAATCAAGCACCTATACATAAAGACTGCTTCTATATAAATATTTGTGAAATAATGGATTGCTCTCAGGAGCTCAGTGAATTCAAGCATGGTAACGTGATAGGTTGCCACCTGTGCAATAAGTCCATCCGTGAAATTTCCTTGCTATTAAATATTCCATAGTAACTGTTACTGGTATTATAACAATGTGGAAGCAACTGCAAACAACAGCAACTCAGCCACAAAGTGGTAGGCCACGTAAAATGACAGACCGGGTCAGTGCACGCTGAAGCACACAGTGCGCAGAAGTCGCCAACTGTCTGCAGAGTTAATAGTTAAAGACCTCCAAACGTTATGTGGCCTTCAGATTAGCACAACAGTGTGTAGAGAGCTTAATGGAATGGGTTTCCATAGCCGAGCAGCTTCATTCAAGCCGTACATCACCAAGTGCAATGCAAAGCATTAGATGCAGTGGTATAAAGCACACCGCCACTGGACTCTAGAGCAATGGAAGCATGTTCTCTGGAGTGACAAATCACACTTCTCTGTCTGGGAATCCAATGGACGTGTCTGGGTTTGACGGTTGCTAGGAAAACCGTACTAGCCTGGCTGCATTATGCCAAGTGTAAAGTTTGGTGGATGAGGGGTTATGGTGTGGGGTTGTTTTCCAGGGGTTGGGCTGGGCCACTTAGTTCCAGTGAAGGGAACTCTTAAGGTGTCAGGATACCAAGACATTTTGGACAATTCAGTGCTCCGAACTTTGTGGGAACAGTTTGGGGATGGCCCCTTCCTGTTCCAATGTGACTGTGCACCAAGCAAGGTCCATAAAGACATGGATGGACAACTTTTGGGGTGGAGGAACTTGACTGGCCTACACACAGTCCTGACTTCAATCCGACAGAGCATCTCTGGGATGAATTAGAGCGAGACTGTGAGCCAGGCCTTCTCGTCAGACATCAGTGCCTGAACTCACAAATTTGCTTCTGGAAGAATGGTCAAAACTTCCCATAGACACACTCCTAAACCTTGTGGACAGCCTTCCCAGAAGAGTTGAAGCTGCTATAGCTGGAAAGGGTAAGCAACTCATCCCAATACTTTTGGCAATATAGTGTATATGTGAATATGTGGGGGATTTGCTCAAGTTTTAGTGCTGGGCATGAAATGTTTTAGAGCTTGTAGGCACACTTTTATTTGGGGAAAAATATAATTAAAGAAAAGATAAAGAGAATAAATGGTTACCCCCTAAGGGAGCTTGATGACGTTATCACATTGCAACTGGAAGTGCTGTGAAAGCTGCTGAGAACATGGGGAGATAGGGGCAGGCTGTGGGGGAGTTTTAATCCTTCAACACAGGTTTTGTGAACCTTTTAATGTGAGTGTATCTTTTATATTTTACCTTCAATAAACATTTTAAATGAAGAACACTATTAGTTTTCAATTTATCATTGGGGAACATATCTGTGACTATCTGTGGTGTAGCCAACCTTTAAAATGAAAGGGCATTAATAGGACCAACTGTGGAGTGGAGGAGACAAGGTGGTGTTATTACATATATCTCTTTAATGGGGGAAAGGCACAGTATGGGTCTTACACACTGACTGTTAATCAAGATGGCAGACAACAGAGCTAGTGCGTGCATGGAACAATGTGTGGTGATGATGTTTCTTGCATACAAAGGCGTTAAACTTCCAGATATCTACAGAAAACTTCAAGAACAGTACAGTGATGAGACACTCAGCTGCAGTAAGACATTTGAATGTAAACATTTCGAAATTGGCTGTCCGTCCATTAGTGACAATCTTGGCCGTGGCGTTACCCAGCCCATAGTAGTCATTCCCGAGAACAATTCGCGTGTAGAATGCCTGATCCTGGATAAGCGACACACAACTTGTGAATTTCACAAGAGATAAATATTTCTGTGGGAATGGTGAACATAACCATTCACAAATGTATGCATTTTCAAAAAGTTAGCACAACGCTGGGTACCAAGACAGTTTCCACTTTTGATCAGCACAAAAGATTTGAAGTCTGCACTGCATTGAAGGAACATTTTTACAAGAAAGGACATGATTTTCTGGATTGCATCATTACATTTGACAAAACTGGACAACGCACAAGCTCACACTGCTCACCGCACTTTGTGCACAATACATCTCGACTGGGAGGTATCGCCACATCTCTCGTACAGCCTGGACTTCTTTTCGTGATTTCTACCTGTTTGGACCCCTAAAAGTTCCTCGAAGGTCAGCATTTCAGCACTGACAAAATGAAGAAGGCTGTCCTAGGATGGTTCAGGTGTACTGACAAATCTTCTATGCCGAAGCTTTCCGGGAATTGAACACTGAAGTGTATAAATATAGCAGGTGAGTATGTTGAAAAATAAATGCATTTTCCACTCCTTGAAATTTGTTCTTTTTTATTATATAAACTCAAAAGTTTACACATACGTGGCATGCCTGACCAGGTCGCAGCAGGAACACTTAGCTCTGCAGCTCTGAGTACTGGACCAGGAACAGTAGCTCATTTTAGCTTATTGAAGCACCTCTTCACACCTTTCGGCAGCCTATCCACTGTAGAACACCAGCAGATTGTGTCCCAAAAGGAAAGAGGACCGGCAGCCACAGAAAATGACAGCCTTCCTCCTCCAGCCGGTGGGAAAGCCCAGGCAAAATGAAGCTGTGGCCACAGCAGATCATCACATACACAGATCTTGGCTGCACAACTAGCACCTGAAGCAGCACAGTGGGGGGGGGGGGGGGGGGTGACATGGAATTTACCGAAGCAGCAGCCTCTCACTCATCTCCCCCTGGTGGGATGTGGGGGACTTCATGACCAGAGTGAATGATCTGATTGACGCTCATGATGAGCATCTATAACACATGTGGATTAAAAACAACTTGGCTGACCTTGAAGATAGGTCTCACCACAACAATAATCAACATAAGAGGGGTTTCTGAATCAGTATAGGCTTCCAGCTATGTCCAAGGTATGATCAAAACCTTACTACCAAAGCATAAAAATATAGAGCTTGTGATCAATCGCATACATAGTCTACCAAGACCCCAGTACCTTCCTGATAGGACACCAAGAGATGTGATCCTACGCATTAATGTTTACCACGTCATGGAATGCCTCATACTTCACTCCCTGAACCATATGTATGCCTCCAACTCTTGACAGATCTGTCATAGCACACACTTCAACTGTGCAGGCAACTCAACACCATAACGAAAGCTTTAACCTCCCTGGCGGTCTAACTAATCAATATTTTTGAATGTCAAAGCGGTACATTGTTTTGCATGGGAATTTCTTGTTTTATATTGTAGGCATAACTCACTTATATCTGTCTAAACAAGAGTCTAAACATCCCGAGCATAATAAAATTTGAAACACAAAATCGTAAATTATAATAAATAATTAAAAAAATAATATAATAATACATTTAATTCAATAATGTAATCAAACCAAAAACACTGAAATTTGAAACAGCACCAAGTTTGCACATCAATGAGCTCTGTCACAGAATAGGTTCAATGTCTGATGACGAATTCACTATCACTGTTTTCTAGCTGGTCTAAAACCGCTTTTGAACTAAAGGGACGCTTTTTGGATGCCATGGACTTTCTCAAGTTTTCAGGCAGAAAGAATGGTAAAAGTGCAGGCAGGGCACTGGACAAAGCACTAGGGACAAAATTTAGGTGAAATGATTTGAAACAGTAATGTAATCCTAACAGATTACAATGTATTGTGTGTATGTCATGTTTTTACTTTTTTGAATCTCCCGCTGGATCCGCCCCTCTGTGTGCCAACGCTCGCAGGGAAGGGAACCCAGAAGACGGATGTCGGCATTGGCCGGAGGACAAAGCAGGAAGGCATTGGAGGGATTGCAGGATATGGTAAGGATCAGGATATCGCAGGACAAGGACTACAGTGTAATCCTGGGTGTGGCTCGGAGTTACCACTTTTGGTACTGTAAATTAACCTCGAGCCACACTCGGGATTACCTCTAGGAAGGTTAAAAAACCACAAAGTGATTTATTAGTGGGTCAATCTGCAAGATTGTTGATTACTTACAACGGTTGAAAATATTCCGTCTCCTCACTGTCCGAGGGGCTCTGCCTTCTCCAGTCCTGGGGCATTCTTACTGAACCCGATACTTCAATGGAAGGCCAAGCTATAGGCAATGTCTCCTCTGACTGTGAAAGGCCACAATGTCAACGCAACGGTGAGTCTGGCACATCGAGTTCCACAGCTTTCTCATTTACTCGGACCAGTCCAACTTTTAACCCCACAGGGTACTTTTGTGGGGTGCTACAAGCATCACTTTCGAAAGCATTTTTGTTGAGCCTTCAGCTCACGCATTGCTCAGTTCTTGGTCAGCTTTTCTTTTTACTTTTACATTTTTGGAATGCTACCTATTGCAGTTCCACTTTTAGTGCTTACAAGCATTTTCCGTGCAGATTCCCCCATTGTTCCGTACACCTCTCTATAAATGCCAAGGGTCTAAACCATCTGTTAAAAACTTGAATAAGACTCTCATTGTGACATCTTGTGCGTGCAAGAAAGGCATTTTCATGCATCCACACAACCGTCATGCACAAATAAAAGTATTTCCTCATATATTTACGGCAAGCACTCAACAAAAATGAGGGGCGTGCAGTCAAACACACAGTGTCCTTCCAAGTGCACAACAGAGTCACGGACATTGCCTTATTCTACCCTGTACAACTCCCGTTATACACTAATCAATATCTGGGCAACCAATATGCACCAACTGCGCTTTCTATGGAATCTCAAGAAAAAAATCTGATGTCATACAAGGCCCACTTGTATGGTGCAGGGACTTCAACATAATTCCAGATGCCCAAATCAACTTATCTGCTCCCTCCAGGAGAGGTAACCTTTCTTTAAACTCCCTCCTTTAAGAATTTAAGCTACAAGATGTTTGGTGATGCCAACATGCAAGCGAGTGGGACTACACCTTCTTTTCATCCTGTCAGAACAAAATTTAAGCCTACAGTACAGCTCTTTTTGGTTGACAATTTCAATTAGTTTTAGATATTACTAATATTCACACATCTAACCTACACCTGAACTAGCCCTACTGAATATCAGTATGGAAAATATTCCAGCCCCTTTTAAGTGTCTTCTGACAAATATATTGCTAGCTGCCAGACTAGTCATTGTACGTCACTAGAAACTTTCAGACTTTCTAACTAGCTTAGAGATAATTACCTTGGTGCACTCACATGGTCTATAAAATCGGTCTTAGTAGATTGGTATCCATGGCTCACTTGGTATGAGAAAAAAATATGGATCTGTATAATGTATTTCTTATTCCAGTGCCTGTTCATAATTGTTCATTCTTTTTGTTACTACACTTATCTGTATTAATCCTGTTTAAATGAGTGTTGTGTCTTTACATTTCACATCACCTATGTCTCTTCCTTTTGACAGAACTTACTGAATGTGGAATTTCCTGATCACCCACTTTCCGCTTTATAATTTTTGTAATTTTCAATAAAAACTATTGAACAGATAAGTTTACACATAAACACACAAACACATACACACACTGACTGGAGTTTTTATGATCTTCCATACCATTTCTTATTCAAACCAAATTTTATTTTACAGTTTTGGCTTTGGATAACTTTAAGCTTGATGAGGATGATGGCTCTTGAGTTTGAATGTTTTTAAAGAAAAAAAAAATCCAGATTTTGTTTATATGGTACAGTGGTCTTAAGACATATATTACATTGAAATAATAACAATAATAATAATAAATTGTATTAATTATAAATATAATAAATGGTATTAAGTATAGCAAAGTTTTTGTGTTTTTTTAATATAGTGCTTAAAGCAAGAATATGTGTTATAATTCAGTGTACACTGGGAAAATGTCTAGACGATATATACTGATTTTTTTTTTTTTTTTTTAGCATCTAATCTCTTTCTGTTATCCTTCAAATACATTATCAGTCATAAAATATGTATTTTTATTAGAAGGCAACCAAAGGAGTCAAGAATGTGTGCTTTGTGGAATACAACATAAACTGATTCCAGAACAACTGGGTCAGAATGTGAAGCTTTTATTACAGTGATACAAATAATAGTTTATAGTGTGTGTACAGATGCTGAGGGCTTTTCTTGTATTTATGATTATCTGAGTAATCATTTATCTGCCTAACTCTCTGATATAACGGCAGTCAGTTAGTTATCCTTCCCTATCCTTCATGGTAGTATCTTGTCCCTCTGAAGTGTTGATTACACAAGAACACTGTAAAAATCATCATGCCTATAATATGCTGTTTCTCACTGAATAAAGACTCTGAATATACCATAAGCCTGCATTTCTAGGGAAATTATTTATGTGAGTCTAGTGTCAAGCTTAGTATAAACCCTTTCACTGCAGGACTTGCAGGCTCTGGTCTAGGCATATCAAATGTTTCTTAGTGAGAATATTTCCTCCCTGGGAAACTATAGTTCAAAGCTCAGAAGACAATTTATTGTTTGGCAGGTTAATGATGGTATCTGCAGAGGAAAAAGTCCACAGGCTTAGTAGTGAGTGCATCTGAATTATCCTTTCACATTAAGACCAAGACTCTTGATAGAATGGTTAAAACACTGTACAGTCTTGCTGTGGTTTATCTGTAATTCAGGTCTGTATAAATAGAATTTTGCAGTACAGATGTTGGGGAAAAATAAATGTAAACTGTAGAAATATGGTATCCTACATTCCGCAAACACAGACATTGATTTTATACGGAGCAGACTAGCACATTGCTGAAAAAAGAAACATAAAAGAATATATTTTAATAATTAGCATTTTGTTTATGTGAACAAAACAAAAAAAAGACAAACGTGGGGTAACAAAAAGCCAAATCTGACACATTCCACACAAAACCACAAAAATGAACTGGACAAAATTATTGACACCCTCAATTTAACATTTTGTAGCACATCACTTGGAAAAAATAACTGAAATCAATTGCTTCCTGAAACCATCAATGAGTTTCTTACATCTCTCTAATGGAATATTGGACCACTCTTCTTTCACCAACTGCTCCAGGTCTCAGATTGGAATGGTTCCTTTTCCCAACTGCTGTTTAAGATCTCTCCACAGGGATTGAGAGCTGGCCAGTTCTGTAATCTCCAGCGTTTTGTCTTAAACCATTTCTGAGTGCTTTTTTTTTTTAATCATAAATTTGTATTGGGTTTCAACAGTAAAGATAGAAAACTGAAAGCAACTGCAATATTTTTTGAGGGACACTCAATATATAGTGTCCCTCAAATATATAGTGTTTGCCAATCACTTCCAAAATAGGATTGATGCAATCCGTAAGGACATCGCCAATGCTCAACCTACCTTCCCCCCACCATAACCCCACCAACTCTCCCCTCCTCTGACCTCCCAACCGCCCTACCCCCTACCACACCTAATGTCCCGCACACTGTAACCTCCCCAACACTCTGCTCCTTCAGCCTTGCTACCACTGAGGAGGTCACTAAGGTCTTCTCAGAAGCCCGCCTCACCACTTGCCCCCTTGACCCTGTTCCCACACAACTCCTCCGGTCACCCTCCTCCTCCTCCATCCTACGCTCCCTCACCCACATCTTCAATCTCTCTCTCTCTACTGGCGCATTCCCCTCCCCCCCTAAAGCACGCGCACATCACCCCCATACTCCAAAAACCCTCCCTGGACCCCACCGACCTGAACAACCTTAGGCCCATCTCCCTGCTGCCATTTACTTCCAAGCTC